ACAGAACGCATTATTGCTTCTCCCATCCCTCCGCTTTTCACGTCTCATGCCGGTCGTTTGATGGTCTTTTACCTTACCTTTTTGCCAATTGCACTAAAGGGCACTGGAGCCATGAGCTCACTTGGAGTTTTCCTCACTGTGTTGGCCGTGGGATACGCTATGTTGGGTATGGATGAGATCAGCCACCTTATGGAACAACCATTTAAGGTTTGCCCACTTTATGATTTGTGCCGAAACTCCATGCGGGACGTCACAGATGCTTTCTTCATGCGACCACCCCCCTTGAATGACAGTCTTTCTTCGTATCCCGACATGCATGCTCCCTACTGGATCCCAGGAGAAGAATTCGAAAGTACAGACAAATTGTTGGATGCTCCCAAGGGCAGAGCAGTTGGACATCACAAAACTGGAGGAAAGTACTCCAGCACGATGGAATTGCTTTAGAGAGATAGATAAACGAATTCTCTAGAAGGTTTTGATTTTGCACACTAAAACAGCCATGCATGCAAGCTGAAACAGCAGCGTCAAACGGTTCCACCCCACACCTTGCGTGCCAGCGGAAACAGCAACTGTAGCGTCAAAGGGCTTGGAAGTTACACCCTCTGCATGCACCTTGCGCATCCTTGCTTTGTCTTCAAGTCTAACACTCTCTCTGATGATATGATGTCTTCTCGCAGGAATGCCCTCCTCTTTTGTGCGTCCAACAAGCTGCACAACACTCGGGCACCACTGGACTCAGAATTGAGTTATCTTATGGGAGAGGTAGAGTACTGGGACGCAGAATGCATGCTTTGAGTACCGGACGAGCTTGCCCGGACACACGTTTTTCCTTCCCTTTGGCTTTTTGACGGAAGCCTTGCAACAAAAGTTTTGACTTTGGCTCATACATCAGAATTGAGAGACAAGCAACGGACCTTGAGTGCTGGTGCATACTGCTGCAGGACCTTCCGTTTCCTTTCTTCTCTACGTAAAAATAACACTGCGTAGCGAATCTGCTTGGAGCGGGAAAGATGAGCTCACTTAGCAAGTTTTGCGGAAGAAGCATACCTTAGCCATACACAGAACTCAAAATGTCCTGTTTCCACCTTTGCTGGAAGGACCCCAGGGAGCGCGTGAAGGTTGGGCCCTTCATCGAATACGCTTCCGCAAGTGCCAAACGCAACGATAAGGAACCGAGAGGGATTATTCCATGGGTCCATTCCAGATCATTCCACCACACCTACGAACTTCGTGAACTTTTGGGATCTGGGAGCTTCGCCGTCGTCCACTCTGCGATTACAAGAGAGCCTCCATTTCATTCCTATGCTGTCAAGGTCATTCAACGAAAGAAACTTCTGACTCACAAAGCTTTATTGGCCTTCAAAGATGAAGTACAGATAATGGCAACTCTACAGCATGGCAACATCATTCAACTGCATGAACTCTACAAGGAGCGCGACTTCTTCTTCGTGGTGTTGGAGAAACTTGAAGGTGGAGAACTCTTTGATCGATTATGTGAACGATCAACCTACACTGAGAAAAATGCCCGAGATGCCATGCGCATGATCTTTGAAGCTGTCGCCTATTGTCACTCTCAACAGGTTGCTCATAGGTATGTACTGTATGTGCGGAACATTTGATGCAACGACTGCAGCAAGATAACGGTGTTGGCTGACCAAATCTGGCTTTTCTTCTTCATTTTATGTTGGCTGACAGGGATCTGAAGCCAGAGAACTGCCTTCTCAAAGACACCTCAGAAGACAGCCTCATCAAGGTGGCAGATTTCGGCTTTGCTAAGTTTGTTGAAAGACCCAACTCACTTAGGACTCTGCTTGGCTCACCTAGTTATACTGCTCCTGAAATCATCAACTACATCCCATATGATGAAAGAGCGGACAATTGGAGCCTGGGTGTGATCCTATTCACTGTATTGGGTGGGTATCCACCCTTTTATCATCCAACAATCCATGGTACCTTTCAGCAGATCCGACAAGGTTCCTACTCATTTCTGCCCGACTTTTGGACGGGCATTTCTCCAGATGCCAAGAATCTCATCAAGGGTCTCTTGACTCGTGACCCCAGGGAAAGAACGACATCAGAACAAGCACTACAACATCCCTGGATGACAGGACGAGGTGAGTTGCTGGAACAGCGATGCCTCTCAAACAATCAAGAGCGATTGCAGGACTACAATTCGGAGCGCAAACGAGAACGTCGTGCGAATGCAGTGAGATCTGCGAGCATGTATTGGTTAGTCTCAAGGAGATGACCGGACACAGGAATAGGGAATAGCTAGCTTTTAATGAAGCCAAAGCCGCGCACTTGTAGTACATGTAGATGGACTAATGATGACCTCCAGAGGAGCAGCACACCGTTTGTTTGCTTGCCTGTGGTTGTTGGCAGCCGCAGTTTGGAAAGAGAGACTCTCGACCAGCGGTTTTAGCACGCCATTGCCCACGTACCATTTCTCCAATAGTATTATCTCCTCGTTCTAGCCAGCGTGGCCATGGCCCGTGGGTCATCTCCGCGTCCTCTTGGGCTCTGCCCAGCCTTCGCCGCCTTTTGTGCTGCCCAAGATTACACCCGAAGAAAAATAGATTGACAAGAATTTGTGCTAATATCTACAATCACGCCAAGCAACGTGTTTTTCTCTAGACTAACATCGACACGCAGGAGGAATGAAGTGGGAAGAAAGGATGGGAAGCTCACAACGCCTGTGGCATGCCCAAGCATGACAGCGCCAAGGACTCGACTCGCAAATAATGCATATCATTGTCTGCAGGCCAGATGAGGGTGCCAAGTCCCAGCATAATTGCCGTGAAAAACAGCAGCGCGAACTGCGGCGGTTTACTTCCTGTTTCGTAGCGGTTGGCCCTTAGACCAGGCCCCTTCATGACGGAGGCTTCCGTCTGGTCGAACTTCCCTCCCATGGCCTTGCATCTCGCCATTCCACCACTCTCCTTCGTACCAACCACCATCAGCCCAAGACATTTTGCCGTGTCCATGGAACTCTCCTTCTCTAAATTCACCTTCATAAATAGAATCATCAGTAAAGACACACTTGCCTCTACCATGTCTCATGCCATCCACCCAGGAACCATCATAGGTGGAACCATCCTGATAGGTCATTCTTCCTTCGATCATTTGACCATTGATGTATTCACCAACGAACACACGACCGTCCGCAAAGCGCATAGTTCCCTTGCCGTGCTTGTGATCGTTTCGGAGCTCTCCTTCATAGAGATCTCCATCGCCATTACTGAGTCTTCCTCTTCCAGTCCACCGTCCATGCTTCCAGTCACCTTCGTACCACCGACCAGCAGCATACTCTAGGCGGCCCTTGCCGTGGGGCATTCCGGTTGCCTTGGATAGAGAACCAGCGTAGGTTCCCTTCTCCCCGTACGGATCGACAATGACCTGCTGCTTGACTTCATACGTCTCGACATCGCTTCCGTTGCTGCCGCCTCCGTATCCATTACTGCTGCCCTTGCTCTTGCCTCGGGACTTACCACCGCCACCTCGCGATTTTTTGCTGCGACGATCTTTTCCTCCTCCGCTGTAGTCGTTATTGTCGATGGAGTGGCTTGCTCGTGAGACTCTTGATCCGCGGCTGACATAGGACCGGTCGTCAAAGGCATCGGCCATGCTGGAATCTTCACTGCCCGATCCATTCTCTTCGTCTTCGGCGAGTTCAATTTCTCGTGGCAAACTTTTCACCGACTGCGAGGCACTGACAATGGACGCTCGACTGGCGAGAGACGTGCGACGACCCATTTTGCTGCTCTTGGGACCACCGCCGTGCCCGTGCACACCCAGCGCACCGGGTGATGCCTTGCCCATAAAATCACTGGACTGGTCGTCCATAATGGTCTCGTCTTCGTCATCGGCGTCACTCCAATCTTCAATTTCGTCTTCTCCATCACCGCCACCATCCCATTCGGATGCTTCGTCGTCGACGAGTTCCACTTCGAGCGGAAAGGGACCACTGCCCATGCCGTAGGCCCCGCCACCCGCTTTGTTCTTTTTGTTGGCTCGCGATCGTGTGGACTTACGAGAATAGACCGACATGTTATCGCAGGTATCTTCTTGCAATTGTCGGACCATTTCGTGTAGATAGGTGAGCTGCGATTTGCAGGCTTCCAGTTCCTTTCTCAGTCGATTGTTTTCTTCTTCCTTGCGTGCCAGTAACTCGCTGGATCTCGTCGTGGAAATGGTCATGGAATCCTTGTGTTCGGGCAATTGATGCCTTGGCTCTTCTTCGACAGATCCCGATGTGGTGCCTCCTCCGCCACTGCCCAAGAATCGTCCCAGGGCGCTGGATTGCTGTTGCTGCTGTCGTAGTGCGTGTTCTTGTGCCTCCTTTTCTTCCATTTCTGCCTTCATTTTGAGGAATTGTTGCTTGACGTAGTCTTTGGAGACGTTTGGACACTGCACGTAATAGACTTCGGCATCTCCCAAGCTCATGGTTTCCTTGGGGTCTTGCTTGAAGAGGTACTTTTTGGCTTCGGCCTCACTAAAGAGCGACGTCCACTTGTATCGCTTGGGGTCTTGGCAATAGCGCTGAATATGAGGTTCGGTAAAATGATGGCGCGCAATGTTGTAACGAATAATCTCTTCGCCTTTGGCAGGTTTCCAGTCTTGTCGTTTCTCTTTGGGGACTTTGAGTGTACGGTCGACACTGGCTTTGAGCGGGATGGACGCTGTGTCTCCCTTGATGAACTTGACCTTGACGATGCCGTCCAAAATGGAGTGACCGTACGATTTGTACGCCTTTTGATAGGTTCGACAATTCTTCCAACTACAGACGCATTTTGGCAGACCTTTCGCTGATGCGGCGCTCTTGGTCGTTACTACAGTTGCGTCGTCCATTGTTGTTGTTGTTGTTGTTACTTCTCTTGCTCGTTTCGTTTAGAATGGCGGGGCGTGTGTGTTTGTGGTTGTGCTTCTAACAATAGAGGTATCGATCGACGGAGCTCCGTAGAGTGTCCTCGTTTTTGCTCAGTGTTTCTCAAGCCGATACTATCAATCAATGAGCCTGACTGATCCGTTCTCTCCGCTTTGTTGTGCTGCGCGAGGGGAGACAGCGATAAACTTGACTCTATGCGCTCCTGTCGTGCTTTTGCTTCCACCGGTTTGCCTTGGGTCTTTACGACGTTTGGGTGGAGGTAGTCTAGTAAATTCAGACCGGATTATTTTGTGGCCGCAGAGCCTCCGTTCCTCTTGAATGCGACGAAACAACCAACGCTACGACAAGAGAGCGTGTGTCAGGTGCTGTGCGGTAGGGGTCGTCGATAGGAACGAACAAGACGGAATGGAACAAACTAATGTTGTTGTGGTTATCTTGTTGGGGTATCAAGCGGCGGCGCTAGCTATGCTGCTGCACTACATGTACTACCAGCCCCTCAAACAGCGTGTGAACTGAAGATGGGACTGACCGTAATGCTATTGCCTCTTTGGCGCTCTACTACATGGCAATGCGACATTATTTGTTCCGTTCCACACCATTCATGCCTTGTGCCTGTAAGCAAAGTAGAGTTTGTACGATGTACCAGTACCAGTATCTAGTGACCATCGACGCGGTCATTCAATAAATGAATTAGACAATCGAACCATAAGAAAGCAGCAAAAGTCATTGCAATCCCAGCGTCCAAGGGGCTTTTGTCTTCCTTGGTATAAACCTTGTCGCTAATTTGTTTTGGGAACGGAACAAATCTTCAGCGTCTGTCTGGCGGCGCGGCAAGCAAAGGCTGGTTGGTTGGTAATAATTACTGCCAGAGCTCTGCCAGCATTGGCTGCAACGCAGACCTCCCGAGGACGAGAGGAACGGAACAAAACACGGCTGACCAAAAACTGGTGTGGCCTCGTACATGTACTAGTAGCAGATATGAGGATGCATCGAATCCTCCTCTGATGACTTTCAACAAACTTGTACTAGCTGGGCAGCTATTTGCAGCGGTTGCTACGATATCATACTAGCTAGCGAGTAATCAAATCAAGACAGCCTGCAACCACAGCTTCTACTTACGTACGACTGTAGTACAGACACACAGAACGCAATATTCCAAAAATAGCCCTCCCAGGTCAATGCACTGCCAACCCCGTCATTGCTTTTGGTTGGATGACATGTAGCGTCGTTGGACCTCAGTGTTTGCTTGGCACTTCTCTAGAGAGACAGCAGAGAGCCTTGACTGCTGTAAAATATGATGCAAAGAACCCCAGCGCTGTGCATGCATCAGTTTGCTTTCCCTCTAGCATCTCCCTTGCATCCCCCGTACATGTACCAAACTTTCACAAGCCCTCCCGGAAGGCTAACAGAGGCTACTCGTAGGCTATGAGGCTATCCATACCGCCTCCTGAAATTAGAAGTCTTTGGAAGACACAGAAAACCTTTGGAATTCCTTACCTTATTCTCGGCGGATGTAAAGTTTCGTTGGACCCTTGGAGGCAATGGTAAAACGTTACATCCATTGAAGTCAAAGAGGACAAACCAGAGCCGCGATGGCTTGGCAATTGAAGGGCTTATCAAATTGAAGGTCATGATGACCTTTAAATTCATTTAACACATCGTTCCTCTCACTACAACACAAAACCGCTTTCGAACATCTAGCCCGACTCAAGGTCACGTCAAGACATCCACGATCAAAGATTGCTTGAACTTTAATCTGAACCTTAACGGTGGCATGCACGATGTGGTGGCTGGGCTCGGCTGGGTCAGCCAGCGCTGCCAGCTAGTACATACATGTAGTACGCTGTATTCAGTACGGTACGGTACGGTACGGTACGGTAATACTGTAGGTGTTGTAGTGGTAGTGTTTTGGTCCAGGATGTGGTCCTGCGTGCCAGGAGAAGGTCCTGGAGTTCTTCTTTGTGTTGGCCCTACTAGAGCTACGGAATATAGTTGGGGCAGGTGTCAACGCAGTGGATGGTCATGTAGTGGGACTTTGCACCGTGACCTTGAGCTACATTATGAGGCTGGAGGCGCAGCCCACCGAGTTCGGGCCATGTGCCCGGAACAGGACCGAAAAACCATGTTGGTCTGGGACTTTGACTATGCTGGCAACAGTGCTAGCTAGCAGAGAATGGGGAGTCGAGTCAGCTGTTGCGCACTATTTTTGCGGAGTATCGAAGGCTACGTGAACGAGTTTGTGTATCAAACAAATTGCATAGCTAATGTTGTCATTGACTATCGCTGAGTTCTCCTTTGCTCCAAACTCCTCTACGGATAGTACCATCGGCATCACGTTCTTCGCCCAGGCCGTGGGCTTTTCCTTCAAAGAAACGACCAGTGTAGCTTCCGCCATCGGTGTATTGTAGGGTTCCAATACCGTGATAAGCTCCCGCCTACAGAGGTAATAGAAAGGATTTCATCAGAACAATAGCCTGGAATTGACAATTACAGAAGTGCCATCGTTGCGAGTTACTCACCACCCACTCTCCTTCATAGTATCCATCGTCAAATTCGTACCAACCGTAACCTTCAAAGTCACCGTTGACGAAATCGCCACGGTACACGCTCCCGTTGTGGAACATGAATGTACCCTGGGCATTCGCAAGATACGCAAACAAGGTGAAAGCAGACAAAGTGAGACGGTGCGGACATTCCTTCGTGCCGGAGAAAAGAACAACTCTGCGCTCACCTTTCCATGCCTCTTATCCTCCGTGAAGTCTCCTTCATAGACATCTCCATTTTCATATTTGTAAATTCCATGCCCATGTCTGGCATCATAGACAAACTCTCCTTCATAGGAATCACCGTTTGCATTGCGTAATAGCCCACTTCCATGCCAGTGACCATCCCGCCAATGGCCCTTGTAAAAACGACCACCTTCGTACTTCATTGTTCCGGTGCCATGAGGGATTCCAACCTTTCTCCTCCTTTGTGAGTTGTTGTTTGTTTTACCCTTGGCCTGCTTTGCATCGGGCGCATCTTGTTGCTCTTCCATGTCCTCTTCACGCAGAGTACCAGTGTAGATACCTTTGTCTCCAAATTTGTCTGTAACGGCAAAGTATGCTACTTCTCGATAGAGAACGGCATTGGAAGCCGCTTGGCCTGGCGAGGGCTCATTGTCCGTCAAGAGACAAGTATCAATAGTCAATGATGATATTTGAAGCTTGGAAGCTCCAGTTGTAAAGATTTCCCGTCTTGGCGGTGCAGTATTCGCCCCCAACCTTGACAGATTGGACGGGTGCAGCCGGCCCAAAGTGCTGTTGGTCATTCGTGAAGTAGTCCTGGATGTTTGTGTAGGATTACTCCTGGACGGTTCATCGCTCTTGAAATTGGGCGTTGACGGCGGCGGCGGGGGTGGGACGTAGGGTCCGCCAGTCTTTCGGTTAGTATTGTTGGCGGCCATTTCTGTGGTAACGTCCGCAACGCTCACTTCACGACGAGGCTGCCGCATGGGTCGATGAGGTGGGTTCTGGATCGTTGAGGGTGATTTTCGTGGGGCTCTGGTTGGAAGCATGCCGTTGTTGGGGCTTGTCGATCTAGTTCGAACAGGAAGTCGCAGTGAAGGAGGCGAAGGTAACACCAATGCGTCTTTGTCGATGTCCTCCTTGCCGTGTGCACTACCTTTGGGAATTGCCAATCGTATCGCTCCAGGAGACTTTTGAAACGAGTCTCGCCTAGGAGGAGGTCTGCTCCCGACGAGAGGAGGCGGGGACGCACTCTGAGTTCGACGAATTGCCCTAGCGATGTTTTCTCGCTGTTGCGCCGACCCGTCACTGCTTCCACTCTTTTTTTCCTCCTCGTCCAGATCGACTTCTGCTTCTTCCTCGTCGTCGTCGTCATCGTCGTCTTCTTCTTCTTTTCTGTGCAAAAAATCTGCCGATATTTTCCCAGAAGCATCAAAAATAATCTCCAATGGTTTGCTCCGTTCTCGTTCCAGCATGGACATGAGCCCGGGACCGTAGCGCACTTCCTTGTTGTTGTCGTCGTCATCTTTAGGCGGCAATTCAAAAGCGACTTCGTGATGGTTGCCGTTTCTCGTCGTTGGCTTGTCGTCCGGAGCCGGTGCTACTTGTTGCGACTGTGTAGCCGTCGTTGTTGTATTCGGAGTCCCTGTGGTGGTATCATTGTACGTCGTACCGTCGTTGTATGTCGATGTTCCTAGACTCGACACGATGGATGCGAGGTGGGAAGACTCCATGGATTGTCGTCGTGATGTAATTGTGGAAAAGGACCCGTGACGCATGGGCGGTTTGGGTGGTTTTCGTTCAATGGTCCGAACGGATGTAAACATATTCGCTGGATGATTCACAGATTTGCTGTACATGCCTGGCCGCTGAGGCGTGGTTGTCGTCACAACCGACGCTTCTTGCGAGCGTGTTTGAGGCAGCGTAGCCACATCGAACGTGCTATTCTCATGAATACTCCCCGGTAACTCTGTAGGAAGGACTCTGATTTCTTTGGGAGAGGCAGCAGGAGGATCGGCATTCGTTTTCGCTATCGGGGTCTGTTGTTGCGGCAACTTGTTTGCCAAATTGGTCACCACCTGAATAAGCTGTTGCAAGTCTTGTCGAATGGATGTCTCTTGATGCTCTACACTTTCTTGCAATTTATGAATCGCTTGTTCTTGTCGCTGTACTTGTTCTTCCAATCTCTGAATTGCTAGCGCCTGATGATGGTTCGGCGTGAGACGCGGTTTTCCTTTGGGAGATTTGGGTGAGGAGGAATATGACATTTGCAGAGATGCATGAGCCGTTCTTTCATCTGGTTCTTCTGCGACGGCAGCCATGCTCATGTTGAGCAATGGATTATGGTGGCTACTAGTAGTACCATAAAAGCTGTTTTCTTGTGCACTGGTTAAAGCTCCAAGTTGGTGAGAACTGTTTCCATTGGTAAGGTTCGCCAGAGTGTAGGATTTGCTCGTATGTGTCGAGATGGACTCTTCGGCGGTGGCCATGGTAGTGGAACTAATTCCCATTTCTTGGACTTGATTAAATCGCGCCGTTACGGTTTCCATCCATGCCGCGAATTGCTTATTGGAAGCTTCACTTGTCATGTTCCCAGCCGGGACAGTGCTCGCTGACTGGAAGCTCCGCAACAGAGCTGGTGGCGGCGGTGGACTTAAGTTGGCAATGATCTCTGAAGGAGAGATGGAGATGGATGTATTGGATCGGTCAGTGCCGGAGAAGTCCATCATGGTCGAATTCTTGCGTTCCTGATGTTCTTTCCAGCAACATTCACAGTCTTGAATCGCAGGTGGAATATTCACGTTGGGCTGGTCGTCTCCTCCATCTTCCAAGGCGTCTTCTGACCCCCTGTCCTCCAGGGGAGCAGCAGCAGCAGCAGCAGCGCAAACCAAGGAAACGTGGGGATGCTTCACACACTTTCCTTCCGGTGTGATCGCCAAGGTCTTCAGGAACAGCGGGCTCAATCCCATCATCCTCTGCAAATGGGGGTATCCAGATAAGTATGCACTGGTCGAGCAAAACCCAGGACCGATACAAGTCTCAAGGGCTGTCCTCTCTCTTGACTTGGTTGGGTGCAATCGGTAGCTTCTGTTGCCGGTTGCTTCTTTGTCTGTCAATGACAAGGAATGCCACACTCCCAACGCCACTGAAGATAACTGCACTACTAAAAGCAATCTGTACCACTGATAAAGTAAGTGAGCAGAGCCACTGGGATTACACTGTATCCGGATAGTGGTACGAACAAGCACTCGGATGGGCTTCTCGAGCTGCTTGTTGCTGGTATTTATTTATTTGCTCAAAGCAAGGAGTGGTGGCAGCAAGAAAGAAGCTCCATACAGCATTCCCACTTCAAACTTCAAAGCGCACGTAAGTGCCACTCTCACGTCGACGCCGGAAACTTTACTTAATTAGCTTTTCGGAATCGGAATGGAGGGTTGACTAGACAATAGCCACTCGGAAGTCGGAAGTGATTATGGAAAGCTTTAGGGCATGCCTCTTCGAAATAACGTTTCTGCTCTTTGTTAGTTAGCCTAATTAATGAACTTTCATAGTTCCTTACAAAGGTTACCATTATGTCTATTTAGTTTTCTGTCCTCAAAACTCGTGCTCAAGAGTATTGCTCGAGACTCACTTACAAGAATAATGCAATTTGGATGTCGCCTCAGTGCTGCGGCACGGTGGCATTGTAGGTACTAGTATCCTGTTTTCCAGGAGATTATTTTTCCTCTCAAGTACCAGTAGTCTAGTGGCTCCAGCAAGTCATGATCAGAAGGAAGGATTTCGTCTCAGATTTGTTGTCTTGTCCATCTGCTCTGTCATTTCGTTTTTGGAGAAGTAATTATAAAATGAGAGCAATTTTACCTCTGCTCTCAAGAGACATGAGACATACCGGTAGAATTTTCAACATTGGTGAAGCTTGGAACCCTTTTTTACGGTTTCAGATTGCTACGTACGGTTGTAGCGAGCTACGGTAGCTAGCACAGCAGCTAGCCCAGAACGAGGCCCGAGCTTCCGGTACGGGTACGTATGGTACTGGCACTAGCTAGCTATTACTAGCTAGCTCGTAGTACATACCAGAGGACAAGCAGCCAGCGATTTTGTGTATTCTATTACAAATCTTAAAAACAGGGAAAGGAGGGTACAAAAGAAGGGGAATTGTATGGTTTATGCAGCCGCGATAGGTTTCAGCGTCCAAGAGTACATCCGGTCGTTTTCAAGTCGTAAGAAGTAAAAAGACACTCTAGGAGTACTGGTACGGTATGCACTGTTCCCACGATAGTCAAAGACCCAGGGTATTAAGAAGTCACTTCCGAGGAGAACACCTCCTAAGAAGAGGTGACATCGTGAACAAAGTCAAGATCCAACTGGAAGACAGCAACTCCGCGATCCAAGAGCCAAATTACACACCACGGACCAAGAAAACGACTTCCTTGGAGATGGAGTCGAGAGCCAATAAGCTCCGCCAATGTAGAGGGTCAGCATTTCGGAACCAAGGAGACGCCATCTTACCATCAGTAAGTGTTCAAGAATCCTATCGCTTGTTCAGCTGTGATTGAGGTTCCCTCTATTCGGGAAAAGCTTACGCATTGGTTGTGACAACGTGACAACGGCTGCCCTAAAACTTCATCCGTTGAGAGTCCAACAAGCAAGCTATCTATTAATAGAATTCAATAAACTTCTTTCTTTATTCGGAGATCAACCATGGCGGCCCGCAAATCCTGCACTACGCTGACATGGGCGGAAGCGAAAAATCGTACTGGGAGTGTCGGTCAAAAGAAGAACAAGGAAGTGCTGCGAAAGCAAAACCATGGACAAGTCCTTGCCAACAAGATTATTGCCAAATCCGGTGGCGATGTCAAAGACTCTGAGAATCGCAAATTGAAAAAGGCGTATCGAAAGCAAGAGGAAAAGGCCGCCGCAATTGCCGCACAAAGAACGGAAGAACGAGAGCAAAAGCGATTGGCGGCCATGCAAGAAGTGAAACCCTACGATCGCGCCAAAGAACGGTTGGCCGACATGATCCAAGAATTACGCGGCAGCAGTGGCGATCCGCCCAAAATGATTTCCGTCGAGGACATGGACTCGGAAGAAACACTAGCGAAAATTGCCGAATGCAAACAAATGCAATTGGACGAGATCATGGCACTCGAAGCAATGATCCCAGAAGAAGATTTCGTCATGTGTCACGCCGAAAAAGTACAAGAGCTGCGAGATCTCTTGGAGGACGAAGCCGACGATGCACACGACCAAATTGCTCGACAACCGCCAATTGCATTTTATATTCGACTCGAAGTGGACGATTATCGAGACAGCAACAATGACGACAATGAGATGGATCTCAACACCATGGTCTTGATACGCGTCACATTGCCTCCTCTCTATTTAAACAGCGAAGGATCCCAAGAACCCATCTGGAATTTTGATTACGTCATGGTCACCGATAAAAATGCTCTTTGTAGTGCTGACAAACCGCTGGAATCCTTGGCTTGGTTGGACGAAATCAAGCTCAAGGAAGCATTGGCAAAACAGGCACAAGAAGACCTGTTGCCGTATCCGTGCGTATATGAATTGGCTGTCACATGGCTCTCCGAAAACATCTACGACTATTTGAACATGCAAAGCCATTTGCTAGCTACCAAATAGCAAAAAAGCTACTTCTTCACCAGAAAAAAGTGGACTACCGAACGTATGTCAATTCCTCCAGTTAAAGTGGAACGAACGGAACTTTGGAAAGTTGCTTCTGTTCTGCTATCTGCTCTAGGCTTTATTTTTAAAATGGAAACATAGGCATACCGGTAGGTGAAGTCTGGTTGTCTGATAATGCCAATCTTGTTGGAGTGGAATGGGAGAATCTCGTGAGCTCGACTTCGCCAAACTTGACCAACACATACATGCTGAGAGGAATTTTTCCTGGAAACCTCTTGGCTTTTTCAACCTTTCGTGGTTGTGCCTGTGAAGAAGACCAACTGTCGATCCGTGGTCATCATGGTGGTAGTTGTATTCTTGGAGGGTATTGTTGTTGGCATTATTTGTTCCGGAATAATAATATGGTTGCTGGAGCGAAGGTTGCTGGCACTACTACCAGTACCAGTACTGCCACTGACAGGAGCCGCTGCCAGCATCAGTAGGAGGAACGGAGCTTGAAGGATCGAGGACTTCATCATCATGGTCATCATCCAATCTACCCTCTGTCTGAAATAATAATGGTTGTTCCCAAGAAAATCCAACAAGCCACCCGTCCATCCACTGGCTCTTCTCAAGGTCAGTCCCACATCATTTCTCCTTCAAGGGGTCCATCAAAGTCCCACACTAAAGTCCTCAATTGGGTTGTGTGCAGGGGAGACTGCTGATGGCAGCAAGCCGTGGTATTTTTTGACTGCATCTACTTGCAGAGGAGCTGTACATACACCCAACACGGTGGTAGAATCGAATGATTCAATCAGGCAAACATGTCTTCATTGTAGCTAACAGATAGTGCTACTGTTAGATTGGGCTATGCGCCTGTGCTCGTCTCGTTTTCTTGTACTAATTCACCTTGCTTCCACAGCCCAACCCGGACAACTCCGTCTGCTGAGACTTCCTCTCCCATGCCAGTTGCCTTGCCAGCCTGAAACTGGCCAGTGTAGGAACTCTTGTCTGCGTATTGGAGCGTTCCGTGTCCGTCGTAACAACCCGCTCGCCACTCTCCTTCGTAACGGCCACCGTCAAATTCATACCATCCTTGTCCTTCAAAACTGCCAAAAATGAATCCTCCATAGTAGACGCCACCATCGGCAAATCGGAACGTGCCTTTGCCATGGGGTTTGTCGGCATTAAAGTCACCGTCGTAGGAATCTCCATTGTCATATTCGTACAGCCCACGGCCATGGCGAGTCGAATGGACAAAATCGCCATTGTAGCTATCACCAGTGGCACTCAAAAGCACCCCCTTTCCATGCCAGTAGCCAAGGTCCCATTCTCCGTTGTAGAATTTCCCATTGTCGTAGCGCATCAGGCCTTTTCCGTGAGGAAGATTGTCTTCTGTGGATAGGCTACCGCTGTAAACACCAGAATCTCCAGCATGGTCAACCAACTTTTCAGAGTTCACATCTACTACGGACACTGCGTGGCTGCCATCGCCTGCTTTGCCGTCATTGAGGGGGTCATGTCCTCCAAGCGTGGTCGATTCATTTGACGTCGATGTGTCATCCTCATCACCAATCCACTCGTGGCTTTCATCCACTAGCGCAGAGTCCAAGGTGACACAGGACACATGCAAATGCTGCAGTCCCTTTTGTGCAAATATATCACGTTTGGATCCTCGCGATGTCGAACGGAAGGAATTGCGCAGTCCACCAGCACCAGCCGCATCCGCACTTGTGCCGGTAGATACTACTTGGTTTTTTACCATCCAAGATTTGCCCGACGAATGGCTCAAGAAGGAGGATCGGGAATTGTTCAGGTGCAAAAAGACAATGGAAGACGACGAAGCTTCCTCTGGCCGATCAACGGGCACCATTTCGTTGGGCGGCCGCGTTGGGGAGTTGGCTCGTACTCCACTTTTCACTTGGTCCTCCGAGTCGCACATGTCACCATCACTACTGGTGAGATCGCAGCCAGAAGAACTGTATGCCACACTGTTGGGGACTTCATCTGGCTCCGGTGACGATGATGCGATGTGGATAGCATTCTCGGTCTTGTCCGCATCGTCAGAAGATGGTGCGTTCAGAATGGCAGTGGCATCAAGGCCATCGCTGATACTTGCATATCGGGTGGGAATTCGTGGCAGCGTCGTGGACGTGCTTGTCGTTGCGGTACTCACAGCCCGTTTCATCTTGATGTCTGGCAGGCCCTCGAGGATCCCGTCTTCGTCTGACTCTGTTTTCGGAACGACGTCCTCCATTTCCAACGTGTATTCCTCGTCGAGGTCGTTGTTTGTATCATTTCGAGTCTTCTTGCTGCCTTCATTATTATTGGTGCCCGAATCGACGCTGTCGTCACGAGTCGGCATTCGAGGTGGTAGCCGCGGTGGCAAGCGCGGCATTTCGGATTGTCTTGTGCCTTTTGACGTTCGTCTTCCTCCTCTGAGACTCGCCAAGGGAGCAGACGTTGCTCTTGACAATCGAGTTGGCATTCGGTTGGCACTAAACTTGGTACACGGACTTGCAACGTAGGTCGGTGGAGAAGGCATTTTGTCCTTTGAAACCACAAACGACCTTCGCTTGCACCTTTCCGAGGATCCCGTCGCAAATCGTTCTCGGAAACTGGTGTAGTCGAACTGATGATGCTCAGCAGGATCATCCGCATGAGCACTAGTCGCAGAAGAGTTGAGACATGAATCATCATGGCTGTGGTGATCATGGTTGTGAGATTCCACTGATGCATCAATACATGTATTATTATGATGAAGAAGAGCATCTTCTTCACCATCATCCACTTCGCTGTCATCGTCGTCCAGAAGTTCACTGCTGCTCTTCTTTCCATAGGACGGTTGGACCACTTTGTCTTGATCTGCAGCCTTGTTCACCGTTTCCTTGTTTTTGCCGCTCGATAATTGTTGGTCCTCGAATCCCGCCATGCCGAGGCTCGACAGGTCACAAGACGCCTGTCGTGGTGGAGCTCTTCGAGACTGAGAGTGCTCCGTCAGACTGTGACCTTGGAAACAATCTTTATTAGCTAACGTAGAGCTTTCCAGGGTGGTCGCTCCAAGAGACGGGTGATCCCTCTCGGGGGAACTAAGTCGGGTTCCAGCACTTTCTTCTGCGGCTACTGAAGTAGGCTGTCGTTGCTGTGTGCTGGCCATCATGATACTTGCAAACCCGGCCTTCATGGTCGACATGATTTCTTGCAAAGTGGTATTCTGCGTGTTTACCGTGTCTTGGAGCTGCTGGATGGCGAATTCTTGCTGTTGCATGCGTTGCAACATGTGCTTCATCAGGACTTGCGTTTCTCCGTGCCTGGCATTCTCTTGCGGATGGCTGTTGTTGTTGACAAAACCTTCAGGGCTATCCCGCTGGTGTCTGTCTTCTCGATCTCTCAGCAGTGACTCGGCATAGGAAAGAGGGTCGTCTTCTTCTGCTGGTTGTGTTGGTCCAGCAGCCCGGATATTCTCCATGACGTTAGAAGCAGATACAAGAGAATGGATTGCTCCTGATACAGTACAATTGAGATGTTCTTTCAATGTAAAGCCCAGAGGCTCTGGTCTCATGGGCTTGGCTGTGGTTGTCATTGCCCTCCTGCTGTACTGGATATAGGTCGATGGCACTGTGCCTCGATCTCGCTAATATGCCTCGTGAAATCGACGTTGTGTGCTCGTGCAGCAGTGCTACCGGTGGCGAATCTGGTGGTGTTATTGTGATTGTGAGAGCTATTTTGTGGTTGGGGCCCTGGATCGAGCTGGATCGTGAGTTGGAACGGACGAGGTGGAGCATTTCCCTTTCAGTGGTCACAGAGCTCCACAAGCGTACAGCTGCCGATGCTGTGCGCTGTGGCCATGGCTGTGACTATGGAGATGTACAGTACGCCGGTACGGTATGATCAATGGCCGTAGATTGATATGGCTTAAAGAAACCGTACTTCCCTTCTGTTCTTGGTGGTTGAATGTACGATACTGTCCAAAGAATCTTTAAGCCACACTCTTCGTTGATCGTAAGTGGAGTTCTACTGAATTAATATGGTGACCTGAAAACAGGTAGCGTCACAGTAGTCAAATCTGGCAGTTCACAGCCTCAGCCATTAGATAATATGTACTACTATTGAGTACTCCGAGTACGAGAACAAGAAAAAAATTATCAAACTTAAAAAAACTGAGGGTGTAAAAAGTGCTTCGGTGGGTTTTTGGCTAGTTCGATCGGGATCTGTATTATAGTAAATAAAATAGCTAAATATCGCAATATTGATTTCAAATATCAAACTTTTTTATTAAAAGCAATGTTTCGTCAATAATTTTAAGACACATTAGAATTGCTCCTAATTCTCGATTGCCAAAGCAAGATGAAGAAAGAAGCAACCAGCACTTATGTACTGATACTGGTAGAGGAGCTTTACTGGTACCAATGAGTGACGGTTTTTACTACAGGTACCACCAGTATGTCAGTAGCAGGCTATGCTGCGGTAGCTGCAGTAGCTAGCAAGGACTCGACTCGACTCGATGGACGATGGACACCTCCCAGCAAGATTGGAAAAGCTCGTGGTACAGCTGTACTCTTACATGCGGCAGATACCGGTAGTAGTGCCTCGTCGTTAAGTTAATTGCTGCTTCGTCGTCGACCAACAAAACAACTGCGTTGCTGCGTTGTTGTGTGGCAACTAGCTAGACTAGCTAGCGAGCACCGTACTGTACCGGTACCAGCATACGCTTTTGGAGACCGTAGTTATTTCATTTATTTTGTACCGTCAGAGCTCAATAGTTAGCTGAACGGGAGGTCCTTTCGGAACGTGCCGTCCTGCTCGTCCGTACCGATCTCATACTCATCGCGTCGTCGTGATCCACCAGATCAATTATCTGTGATTCACTCGTGGTGCTGCGGCTGCCATAAGATCTGAACTTCCTTGAGGGTGACGACCTCGGTACTCTCTCATCCTCGCGATTGTCTTCGGACGGCACGCTCAGTCGTTCGAGCTTGCTCTTGCACCTGTTCAAAATATCCTCAAACGGTGTTGAATCTGAACCAGCCGAAGCGGGGCTAGCAAGGAAGTCCGTTGATCCCTTTTGATCCAATGGGCCCCCGATGAAGTAGAGGCCCTTGTCGTCGTCGTCCACGGTTTGCAAATTGCTGAGTTTTCCATGCTTCCTCGCCTCCGTTTTGGCGTGCCGCGGGCTTTTATGGCGTGGGCTCGTGTTGTCTCGAGTGGCCCAGGAAGAGTAACTCCCATAAGACTTGCTGCTGGCCTTATTGGGCACGTTCGGTATCGTTTCCTTCTTGCGTCGGGGTGGTAACTCTTCTTTTCTCACGGGATTGCGGCGGTCGCTCACGTGAAGCTTTTCATGTCTTCTAGACGAAGAGGAAGAAACAGAGCTGCTGGCCATGTGGGGCATGTTCGGTATCGTCTCCTTCCTGCGTCGGAGTGGTACCTCTTCTTTTCTCACGGGATTGCGGCGGTCACTCACATGCAGCTTTTCGTGTCTTCTAGATGAAATGGATGAAACAGAGCTGCTTTCAGTTGCTTGGGCCTCGAATCTCAGATTGTCTAACACGCGTCGAACAACTGATGCTTTGGAACGAGTCCTGCTGTTATTGGCCTTGGGGCCGAAGGACTCGTCTGTGGTCCATGACGAGATGCTGGACGAACTGTTACCTCGGATGCGATACGCTTTTTGAATCTCTAAATGGGTGGACCCTCTCGTTCTCGTCGTTCCTGTTTTTGTCGACGCGGCCAGAGTATCTTTTTGGGAAGCCGCATCCTCGCCATAGGATGGTTCTCTCGCCCTCGGGGGCTTCTTCGGAGTAGAATTTTCAGGTGAACAAGGCCCAGGGGATGCTCCCGAGGCTGAGAGTTTTCGTGACTGTCTGGGCGGAGGAGGGGGGAGTTGATCTGCCATGGGTGGAGCACGCTTGCTTCGTGGTGATGTAACTTTCAGCATATTTTCTTGAGCCCACGGTCGACTCTCTCTCTGTTTTCGGGCTTGAGGCGACGGGATTGCAGGATCAGAGTCTGCACCCAGGGGAGAAATACCATCGAAATAAGGTGACTGTACTCTCGGCTCCAGGGCTGGAGTGATACCGGTGTGCTCGTCGGATGGATATTCATTCAACCTATTTCTGTGCTTTCGCATGTGGATGTCGCTTGCCTGGGTTTGCTGTGCTTCGAGATTTTTCGTTGCATTGTTTGCTCGCGCAGATATCTCAGGTTTGGGACATGTCTTTTCTTTCGATATCTGTTCTTTCCTGCTCGAACTTGGGATTCTGATGTCGAAAATAGCATCATCACTATCCGTTCCGCTTTGAGTTTCTTTGCTTCTGTGGCGTCCTTTCGTAGCCATTTCGGTCGAGTTAGCGGTACTGGCACGCGCCTGGCTTCGTTTTTTAAAGCTAGAGAGACGGCCACCTGGGCTCAATTCGGGCAGACGAACCTGACTGCTGAAGTCAGGGCGTCGGCCAGTTTCCAATTCAGGCAGAAACTCTTCATTCGGTAAATCATCGACGACGCGATCTTGTCTCGGAGAATTCAACACAGTAATCTGCTTGATTCGATATTGACGTTCTGGGGAAGTCAACCCCGCATTCTGCTGCCTCTCCATATTGGGTGACGGCGGCTGCAGATTGTTGAAGTTGTCTCTGCTTGATGTGTTCAGCGTTCGATATTGGCGTCCTGGGGAATTCAATCCCGCATTCTGCTGTCTCTCCATATTGGGTGACGGCGGCTGCAGATTGTTGAAGTTCGAGACAATGGCCTGGTGTCCTTGCTTGCCCCTAAGCGATTCGCGAGGCGATCGGACGGCTTTACTTAGTGATGGTGGCTCGCTACAAGATTGATTCATTGGGCTGAGGTGTGTTTGGTAATTCTGGTGGTGCTCTGACTTGTATTCATTGGAACCAATAAAGGTAGTTGGGGAGCGGACAGCTGGCAAAGACGGCGGAGAAGGCGCTGCGGGGCTTTCCTGTGTTAGCTTTGGTTTGACAACGGGCACCTCGGTGGCTTGCTGGAGGCCACTTTGGGTATTACTGACGGATACCATTAGAACTCCGCTTGAATCCTCCATGTCCCGCAGCTTGCACGCAACATCCCCATTGACCCCTGATGGCTCCTTTGCTGGTCTCGTTTTCTGGCCTGTATGCATTTTCGTCTTCACATTATTGATGCTATAATTGAATGGCAAATCCACGTTTTCTCTGGAAACTTCCCTGCCAGCCCTTGAGGTGGGGCTCGGGAGGAAAAGGTGGTGATCATGGGCTTGAGAAGTGGCAGCAAAACTAGTGACATCCACTTCGTCAGGATCCAAGGCGACTCTCGTCGTTTTCCTATCCGGTTTCTTTTCGCATTCTGGCGGATCGCTCCGTGCAGGCCTCGGTACATCTTCGTCCCATACCCTCGCAGGAGCTCTAATTGACTCGATCAACGATTCCAAGTACTCCTTCTGAGAGTCTAGTTTGGGAGATGAGATTAGTGCTCTGGGAGAAGCGAGTTTTTTCGGCTTGGGCGAAGCGAGTTCTCTTTGTTTGGGAGAATACATCTCTTTTGCCTTTGGCGAAGACATTCCGTTTGCTTTGGCGGGGGATACCTCTAGTTCGGGGAACGATATTTCTGGTTCACGACGAACGCTGTCGTCCTGTTCGGTCTCTTCAGAGTTTTGAAGTGTTGGGGTCATGACATCCGGTTCCACCGGTATGCGTCGGCGAACCGCAGATGTTTGCTCGTTAGTTTCACTTTCTAGCACCGCACTTGCCGTTGGCGGAGTTGATGATGTTGACCGTGTTTCTTGGTATTCTCCACTACTTCCTGGGCTCTTCACAGGAGCTTTCGGTGACATATCAGGCTCCAGTGGCTGCCTTTGACCTGACTTGTTTTTGGTTTCTGATTCGACGCTGGAACTTGTGCTGCCAGGTGAGTTGACTTTGACTTTTTCCCGATCTTCTCCCGCGCGTGATCCTGGACTCGTAACAGGCGGCTTGGGGGACATCTCAGGTTCTAACAGCTGCTTTTGTGCAAGTTTGTCGCTGACATCTGATTCAGGTTTTGGTGTTGGAGGTGAGCCCGGACTTGTAACCGGCGCTTTAGGGGACATCTCAGGTTCTAAGAGCTGCTTTTGCACTGGCTTGTCTTTAACTGCTGCTCCAATTTCAGGCGGTTGCATCTCTTTCTGTTTCTCCGGTTCAGATTCAGGTGCCGCTTTCTCCGTTGGTGGAACCGTTGTCGACCGATCCGAAGGAGCCGCAGATCGTTGAGATTCTACTTGCGCCGTTGACTTCGCATTTTGCGGAGATATTTGCCCTGCAAACTGAGCTTGCATGAACTCATACATTGCCTTGAAATAGGGGAGCTCAGAAACGTCCAAGTTTTGGAGATCTGGAGAAGTTTTATTCTTGGTGAAGCCCTCGGGTTGAGAGTTTCCTGCTTCGTTCTCTTTCCCGGCACCAGGGTTTGTTGAGCCGTCTTCAAAGTTTGTTATGTCCCAGTCTTTCAGTACTTCAAAGTGATCGCTGATCCCAGTGGATTTAGCGGCATCGCCTGACTTTGATGCATTGCCTTTGTCGACACCCGCTTTGTAGTGAGTTGCCACGGCAGGATTCGATGCTAGGTCCATGACAGCTCTTGTAGCTTCGTAATCCTTGCTAGCTTCGCTCATCTTTGTTGCAATATCCATACTTGTGGATTCAGCTTGACTAGACCCCATGTTGACGGTGTCCGTCGCTTCTCTTCTCGCATTGGCGAGTGCTGATTGCGAAGGAGGGAGTTCAAATTTGAAGCAACCAAGCGACGGTGTCACCTCAAAACCATGCGCAGGATCAGTTGCAAGCGCGGCGTCACTGCCACCCGCAGTCGTCATTGCAGCTGTTGTTGATCCAGCTGTCTCTGGCTGTCCTGAGCTGACTGAAAACCCCATCCATTCACTCATTCCAGCGGTCGAGGCTTGAGCATAGTATTTCGATTCATCGGGTCCATTATATATGTTGGATGCGTGAACATCCAGTTGCTGCCCTGTTTCTGTCGCCTTGCCTGCTTGACGTTTAGGTTTGCTATGCTTCAAACCAGCTTCCATTGCTTCTATGTCTTCTGTCGATCCACTCCTCATTGTTGCCGATGGTGTGGCGAGATCTTGTAACTCTCCTTCATCCTCCTCCTCATCCATGAGTTGCTTCAACATTGGATTTTGCTCGAATTGATGGTAACGATTTGGCTTCGGTGCTCCAACTGTGTGGTAGACATATTTATCTGATATGTCACTTGCGTTCTTCCCACTGTTCAGGGACGGAAGCATTGGCAATCCGTCTGACTTGTTCTGGGCCGACGAATTGGAACTGCTGGTTTTCAAACCACGAGAAGAATTCCCACCCGACTGTCCCTCACTGCTGCTTCTATTTTTAGAGATGGATTGTATGAGCCCAAACGAACCAGTCTCGGGCCATCGAAGCTTGTTGGGTGATAGCCAATTTGAAGCGCTTTCATCTTCAGGTAGTATTGGTGTGGGACTCGTCAGCCCCTGACTTTCTGTGGATGAAGATGCTGCTTGCTTTGCCTCGGCCATCTCCTGCTGTGCACTCTGGTTCCGTGCTGAAAGAAAGAGTTTCCGCATCTGTTCTTCGTCGCTGAAATCAAATCCATCCGGAATCACTATGGAATATCCACCGTTGGTTAGATCCGGCTTCAGAACCGGCGTCTCGTTGCTTTTCTGCTGAGGCGACCCTTTTAGTGGGGATTCCATACTTTTCTGCTCTGGGGAACCTTTCAAAGGGGATTCCCGAGGGGTGCGGGGTCCTTTCACCCTCCTCGGGGACAGGCCCATCACTTCCTCGGGATCCCTTCCAACACGATATCCTCGAAACGCAACGTGAAGCGGGGCATCAGGTGGATCTTGACCTGCGTTTTTTGTTGCCTGCCCGTGGAATCTTATGGATGTCAACAAAGATTCGGAGCCTCCACTGTCGCTTTGCTTGCTCGAGGCAGACTTGGCTGGATCTTTTGTTGAAAGCGACAGCTCGTCAACAAGTGACTTTGTTCTCGATTTGACGATTGCCGGGGAGCTGACCCCCACCTCTCCTGAAACATGGCCTTCTTCCATTCCTTGGACTCCCAGGGACGACACCGACACCAACGAAAGGCTTTCCTTACTTGATGCTCTTTTTGTTGCATCCCCACCCCTTGAAGATGTGTCCATTCCTTGAACACCAAGGGACGAAACCAAGGATGAGTTCTCCTTACTTGTTGGCTTGCCGTTCGTGGGAGACCGCTTCACTTTTCCAGATGAGTTTTTCTCGGCTGGAGAAGCGTTGTTAGGAGAAGATACCTCATTCGGGATTTCGCGCACACTAGGGAGGGGTCCCTCAGATAGCATGCTCATTTGAGCGGGGAGTGATTCCTCGTGACTGCCATTCTGTTGCTGATTTGAGTGCTGTAATGATTGCATGTTTTCACTTTGAGGCATCTTCTTTTTAACGTCGGTCGCTCTACCATCAGCCGACCCATGGATGACACCACCTGAATAAGATGAATGCTGGTTTCGCGACAATGAGTTAGTTGAATTCAGCACTGACCTGGCCTGTTGTGACCCTTGCATCTGGTCGTTGTAGGGATGATGAGACTTCCATGCTGCATATTCAGCCCGCGATTGAAGTTGCTCGTAGAAATTCGTGCTTGTCTGTGGCGACGCCAGAGCTTGGGGCTGGGCAGCAGTTTGAAAGTTGAAAGGGGCTCCCTGATGTGGATGTGCTCTCGGTGAAACGTACTCTGTGGGCACTTCTTCAAAAATGTGAAGATTGGCGCTGTTCAATGTTGTCTCTCTTGTGGGTTGCATTCTTGTTCCATTGAATCGCTCGACCTTTATATTCTCTGCAACTCGAAGCCTCATTTCGTCATTGACGTCTTTAGCTGTTTCTGATCCATATCGCGATGCTCCCTCCGTTGCCATGTATGCTAGCTCATTGGATTCATAAGGATTCACTCCGTGAGCGTAATCTGGCACAGGGGCGCTATGAACTGGTGGTTCGTCCCGAAACTCATCCGTGGCACCGAAGAAGCGGTTTGAGGAGCTCTGCCGTGTCTCTCCCGCGCTCATGTGCGTGTGTGCCGCATAAACATTAACGTGTGGATTTTGCCACGGCACCTGTGTCTGTTCCAAGTCGTAGGGTGGTAACTGCTCTTCATAGCCTTCTTGGAAATGTGGTCTATTCCGAAAGTCGAGTGTATCTTTGGCAAGTGGTGGTTCGTACGCAGATACGGACGATTCACTGTGGTCTCCTCGGATGCGCTCCTTCACTTGCTCGTATACCAGTTGCTCTTGACGCCACTCTGCCCTTAATTTCTCGGCGAGGTGCTGTCTCTTTGATTGTTGTCGGGGGCTAGGCACTCCACTCGATGACCAAGGGGGCAAGACAAACGTGTTATCCGGCGGTTGAATGGTACCAACATGGTTGGCTTCTTCGACGTGCTGAGGTAAAATCCCCATGAACTCGCGCCCTTCTGCCACAGGGCGCTCACCGTAAAGGCTTTGTCCTTCATAGTGGTCTCTTCCAGTATATCCAGGATGCTGCGTGTTTTCATTGCCATGTGGAAGGCGCTCTCCATTAATGCCTTGCCGGCCATCTTTCAAGAAAGGAAACATATTGTGATCATCAAAATCGGGGCTGGCTACTTGCCGAAGGGCATCATAGTCCCCTTCATTGTCTTGTCTGAACTCCATGTTACCTTCACTGCCTTGATAGTCCGAATCCTGCAAGTCTCTAGGAACCGGAATGGGGAACATGACTTGACTGTCAAAGCCAGGACTTGCAACTGGCCGAAGCTGGCTGTCGATTTCATCCAGACGTTTTGTTCTACACCGTCGCGGGCGTTCCTTGATTGGAGAACCAACGGAGCTCCGACCATCGTTGGGCATTGGAGGTAGAATCTGCGTAGCGGCGCTCTTCCCCTGGTTTCCCCCGCCACCGCTTGGGTCTGAACTCGATCCTGTTCCTCCCGAGGAGTGTATGACTGTAACACTGACCGGCGGTTTCCTTGGCTTTCCGCAAAGGGAATCAGTGATTTCGCTTGGTGTACAGCGATTCGGATCCAGGTGAATCTCGGGTTCTTGTGCTGTCGATGACATACGCTTCCCGCGACGTTCCTTTCGTTTCACCTCGCAATACACACAAAGCTCGGTTTCCCCTGTGGGATCGACCAACAGCGGCATGTCACACACATGGCAGGAAGCATCCAGTAAAGACCAGCCTTCTTCTGTTTTGGCAAGAATTCCCTGCCCCACTCGTGAGCGCTTGGCGCTCATGCTATGCTTGGAGCTGGTGGCGCTTTTCGTAAGGATACTTTGAACCTCCTCCAGTATCTCTTGCTTTTCCTTATCATCTAGCTGAACCCGGCGGGGCACATAGTTGTTGACATCATCGTCCGGGGCCTGACTAGTGCTTCCCGAGTCTTCGCTACTTTCATTGCTGGACGAAGAGGATCCTTTCGAGCGTGTTCCTACGGATGTGCTGCCATTATCACCGTTTGCAGATGCAAGGAAACCTCGGATCTTGCCGCTGTTGTTGGAGACGGAAATCTCCGAGTTGTAAGAATTCCTTTTCTGTACTTCGACTTGTTCAAGGTTGTAGCTGGAATCATCCGTCACATCGTAGACAATAACACTGCCCTGCTTGTAAGACTTGACTTTTTTTTGCTGTTCAAGCAGCTTGTCGAGCTTTTTGGGGCTGCTTTTGATGCTTTTCTTTTGGCTCTTCCCTGTTGCCGCTTCGGCTACTGTTTGCTGATGCTTTTCAATCTTTCGGGTGAGCTTTCCCAGTACATTGGATGGTGAATCGTTCGAGTCGCTTGATTCTGGGGTCATGACTCCACCCAGCATGGATGGTGGCTTGAGTATCTGTGAAGGCGAGGGGCGTTTTGAGCTGACGGTGCCGCTTTGACCCGAACTTGCTGCTGGCAAGACGGGCAATCGAGTCGACGATGTTGTTGTGCTTTGATTTCCACTGGCGTACATCCCATCCTGTCCCGATCCACTTCCCCCACACACAACGCATTGCATCCGTCTTTGTTTCATGAGCAGAGGGCACTTGTTGCACTCGCTTCCCTGACAAGTTTCGGATGACATTCTCCATCCGATCAAAAGTCTTCTTGTGATCACCACGCGGGCTTCAGAGCGAAGACTTTCCCATCGTTCCGTAGTAATACCATTATTAGTATTGTTGTTGTTGCTTTGGTGTGGTTGTATAGGATGTTGCTCGTTGTTGGGTTTACTCTCACTACTGCGGTTCTTTTTGACTGTGTTCGTTGTCGTGTGGTGATTGTTTTTGCCATTCTCTTCTTCCCCTGCTGCATTGCTTTCTGTGGGCGCCGTCGACATTCGACGCATACTACTGACAGCCGATGAATCGTCATCGTTTTTCCGATCGCATTTGACTGGATTCGTGGTGGAAATCAATCCCTTGTAGAGTTTGTGTACCTTGTCTCTCGCCGCCGTGGCATTGGCCAGTGCTTTGTCGGCAATACCAGCGCGCCGAAGTGCCTCTGATTCGAGACATTCAAAGACTCTGGAATCGTTTGTAGTACTGGCAAATCGTACTCCAGCTGTCTTTCTTGCTTCTCGCTCTGCTGTTCGCCGTGACTCTTTTTCTCTGGCCTCCTTGCGACGGAAGAGCTCCTTTTCGACCTTTTTAGGAGACCCCAGAATTTGTACCAACTCGGCCAGACAATCAGGGAAGAGTTCTTCCAAAGTCTCGTTGTCGGCTCTCTTTTGTAGATGCGAAATTTCGGGAAAGAGCTCGAGCAGCTGTTTGACCTGATCTTTGGAATAGCCGGACGATCTCTTGGAGCTCTTGGTCTTCAAGGCGGACATGCGGAAGCTCTTGGTGCTGTCGCTCTTGGGGCTGTCGGCATTGAAGAGAGGAGAGTCGTTACTCATCACTGGAAGCTCCAACCTTAGATCATCCTTTACCTGGAACACCATTGTTATTGTTGTTGTCCGTCGCTTTAGAATATCATTGTCGGCCAAAGTCAACAGAGAGCAAAGAGCAACCTTGAGGCAGTCAGAACCAATTTCGTGAGCAGCTTCGAGGAGCAGGGCCCTCCAGAGCCAAAAGGGCAACGACAGCGCACCTGCGACACTTGAGCGATGGTTACTTAAGGCTTTTGGGCGAAGTGGCATCTTAAGTAGCCTGACGAATCACTGCCTCCACACACATCCACAAAATGATTTGCGTATCTGGGCTTCTTGGCGGCAGCGCTTCCTTGTTTGTTTGATTGCACTGTGCGTCGTGCGTGACAGCAGCGCAAAGGACAAGCTTGGTTAGACCAAGATAAACCTGACCACCTGGGATATCTTGACAGAGCTGCCAAAGATGTCCTATCGAAGGTCTGCATCGTACACGAGGGATCAGATCAACGAATTGATTACTCTGTTTCCAGAAGCAGCCCATTTGAAGAATCGATTGAAACAAGATGAAGATCTGGAATCGCTGTTTCAAGACACAATGGTACACTTGGCAAATGTCATGGGGGATAGCTCGGCAGTAGTTCAAGAGTTTCTCAGGCGGAGATCGCAGAAGCGAATGAAGGACGAAAAAAGAGCCCGGCAACGAGCGGGGGTGAGGTTTTTAGAAGAACTAGTTGTCCAAGAGCAGGCAGAAGCAGAGGAAGCACGCGAGAATAACACGGATCCTTTGACGTCCTCGTCGCCCATGGGGAAGACACCCTTGGACAAAGTAAGCAAGCTGTTTCGGGGAATCTTGGCTTCGACTGTGGAGGAAGAGGATCCATTTTCACATAGGTCGTCAAGGGATAGCAATGAGTGTCGGACACCATCTTCGACATCAAGATCAGGGCAGGATCCGACTATGCAGCGAGAAGGGGTTATCAGTGAACCAGCGAGGGAAGAGCCTGCAGAGAATACCCAAGCATGGTCATCAGCATCATCAACAACATCAACACCATCAGCGACACCATCAGAGACACCATCAGCAACATCATCAACAAGGACACCGTCCAGGGAGACTCCATTGCAAGAGCAAAAGAAAGAACAAGAACAAGAACCGGCAAATCTAATAGAGCCCGAGGAAACAAGATCACCTGCCACGGTACTGCCGCCAAGTGAACCCAGAGCACCTTTCGATCTACCGGTACCTCAACGACAACAGCAGCAACAATTCTCCCATGAACAAAGCAGCAAATCAACGAAGCGGGTATCGTATGGTGTGGTGGGGACAGTGGCAGAGCAAGCTACCTGCAATATCCCAATCTATGGACCTCCCAAGAGCTGGGGACAAAATAATGACAACTACTATATTCTCAATGGGAGGCCGCAATCGACTTCCAATAGGACAAAGACACTGCACTCCAGTTTCTCAATGTCGCCAAAATACCAAAGGCGACAACTACAACAACAACCCCTGCGACAACAGAGACCGATTCGATTGGATGCCCCGCCACAACATAGCATAAATGAGCTTCAAACCCCGAGTCTTGTTTCCGAACTGAGTCTCAACAGCTTTGCACAATCACATGAATCTATAGGTCAAATGGATGCCCCGCCGCCACCACCACCACCACAACAACAACAACAGCAGCCAAGACATGACGATCAGAGCATGAACCCTGTTTCTCAAACAAGCACTACATGCACAAACACTGCACAATCATCTGTTGTCCAAGTGGATCCACCACAACATACGAAAGGAGACCATCAAATCCTGACCAATAGGACTCAAAGAAATGCGACAACCCTGACGCAATTTCGTGATAAATTTGGCCACATGATGAATGGCTCACGACAACACACAAAACCTGGTCATAATCAAACCTTGATCCCTGTATCTAACGGAAGCCCGACAATGACTGCAAAATCAATCAGTCAAACGGCTGCCCCAACACAACATGCAAAAACCGATCATCAAAGCCTTGGACAGAGAGCCACAACCGGTAAACAATCATATGATTCGTTTGGTCAAAGGGTTTTCCCACCGCGACATACACAATGTTTTCATCAAACCCTCCTCCCAGTTGCTCAAAACAGTACCACCACCAGCATACCACTGTTGCAGGATCCTTTTGATCGTCCTGTAAAGGATGAAAACAGCAAACGACCAAGATTCCCCAGCCAGAACGTAGATCTCACTTTTTCAAGCTCCAGCCTCGACATTTTACGACAAGATTCGGATCCGCAGACAATACCAGCCGCCACACCCATTGTGGACATAGCGGCAAGTTGCTCTGACTCTGTTTCGTCTGGCTCGGTTTGTGTTGTTGAAGATGATATCGCAACACACACTCCCGCAAATGTCCCGCAACAGCCTACCTACGTGCAAGGGTCCAGTAACGCCTTGCAAATCATGGTGTCAAATCCTCCTTTGGTTCATGCAACCTCTAGGGTTGTTGCCAATTTCTATAGAGAAGTGATGCGATCACGAGCCAAGCCGCTCATGGATGCGTCTCCTGCGTCTAGCTTTGGAGCAGGAAACACTCCGCGCTCGGAAGGAAGCTTTGACTACCGCAAGTCTCCACAACACCACAACCACCAGAGTGCCAATCCAAGCTCAGTAAACGCTCCACACTCACAAGGATCCTTCGACTGCAGCAAGTCTCCACACCACCACAGCCACCCGAATGTTGAGCCAAGCTCAGTTCACCTGGATCCTAAAGACTCACCTCACCATTCAGAAACCAGTGTGAGTGTCCCGTCAAAGGCATCACTTGGTTCTGCAACTAAGCATCACCAAATGCTGCCCGTTTCTGGTGGTGACAAGCCGAGTTCCAATCATGGTCTGAGCTCTCCCTTGGTCTCACAAATATATCCCGCATTCTCCCATTCAAATCAGTCATCCCCTGGCCTGGGCTTGAACCATAACTTCAGCTCGCTGCTGCCATTCGATCACCAGAAGTCTCACACCACCACAACCACCCGAGTGCCGAGCCAAGCTCAGTAAACACTCTGCGCTCCAAGGAAGCTTCGACTGCGCAAGTCTCCACACCACCACAGCCACCCGAATGTTGAGGCAAGCTCAGCTCACCTGGATCCTAAAGACTCACCTCACCATTCGGAAACCAGTGCGAGTGTCCCATCGTCAAAGGCATCACTTGGTTCCACGAATAAGCATTACCAAATGTTGCCCACTTCTGGTGGTGACAAGCTGAGGCCCTTGGTCTCACGGATATATCCCGCATATTCCCATTCAAAGCAGGTTTCCCCTGGTCTGGGCTTGAACCATCACTTCAGCTCGCCACTGCCATTCGATTCGCCAGACCCTCGGGCCCACAAAGAAATCTCGCCAATGGTGTATCCCCTTGAATCAGTCGGGAATTCAAGTCTCAGTCTGCAGCAGCATTACAGCTCACCGGCAGCTTCCAACAGCAGCAGTTCCAATCGAGGTGGCGAGAAAATCGATGCGAGATCAGACGAGAAACAATACAAGATTTCGCGAAGAGGGGACGCGGAAACGAGCCCGAAGCAGCGCTTTCATCGATTCGCCAGAGTGAATTTTCAACTCGATCCACTGACGAAGGAAGAACGCGATGAAACCATTAAGGAGTCGCAACCTACTTCGGAAACTCGACTGGCTCCTCCTGCCAATCGAAAAGTGCTTTGGTCTGAACCACCACAAAGGCAGCCTCCACCTGATCCAGAGCCCATGGACTGCTTTGAAGCTGCCAAGTTGCCTATAGAGACACAGCTGGCAATCGATCCTGATGGACCGGACCGGACATGCTCGATTGAAGAAACGTGCTCTTATGAATACAATTCCATGGGCACGACAGAGGTCATGTTCGGAAAAGGTGGAGATGACAATTCGATAACCACGTTGATCGAGTCAATCAAGGAGTCTGCACACAGGTTAGCTGACCAAGAATCCAAGAACTGTCGTCGGTCAGATCCTCCTACCGGCGTTACAGATTTCATCTCTGTCGCCATCCCCTTTGCTCCAGAAAAGAGGGCCGCAGAGAAGTCCCTCCAAGTCTTTGTCGGTTCGTCGTTTGGCCCCATTGGTGCCGAGATCGCTGAACATAGTGAACCGCAAGTGAAGAGAGCGGCGATAGACGCAGATCCCAGCATGCGCAATTCTTCCCCACAACGCTGCAGATCACCTAGAGAGCCAAGGGGAACACGATTCGTGGGCAGAAGAATGAAACGAAGCGTCTCAAGTATCAAACCGAAGCACCGTAAAACGTCAGGAAACGAAGCAGAGAGAGCAGAAAATCGGACTGACCACGAAACCAGTTCCAAACAATCGGTTTCATTAGGATCAGCCACAAGGACAGACGCAACGAGAAGTGGCGCTGATGATTTGTTGGGTGACACTCGTCAAACTGCCGATTCACACGACACTTTGAACCGGGAACAGATACCTTACTACCAATCGAACGCCCCTCGACCTCTTGTACAGATTGCCAATGAAAGTGGAGGGTCATGGAATGAAAAGAACGAGCGATATCCTAACGAGCCAAGTGAGAACGCACAGGAGCGACAGATACACAGAGCACCTTCCGATGGAGAAGATACAGCTTCGAGGAAGGAAGATTGGCTGCAAACAGGTCCTACTGAGAAGTCACACAAGACTGTCGAATGGTCTGACGCTGTCGGAAACAACGGTCGCGAGGAATCCGACCGACAACATCGCATAAATCACAGCAGCTCGTCTGTTTCATCACTGTCGTGTGTTGCCGAACAGAAGCAGCGCTCTCACCCTGGCACTCGCAGTGAGAAGAAGCAGTACTACAAGTCTAGGGGCAATCCAGACTTCAAATCGTACGACCCCACGACACACCGAGACGCCAAATCAGTTGGCAGTTACTCGACTTGGGGGACCACTGACAGGGATCTTCTTGTTGCTGTTGCACATCATGGTGCAGACAATATGAGACGTAACGACCCTCCAGTGCATAGCACACCCCAGGCCGGTTTGGTAGGTCGTCATCTCCCAGATCACAATGTCATTACAATATCCTCGAGCGACACATCGGAATCTACCGACTCTACCGCGATAGAGGACATCATTGCAAGATGTCAACAGAAGCTCGAATTTTCACGCTACGAAAGAGGGTCGAGATTTGAATCAAGGGAATTGGAATAGAAACTAATGGAGGTACATTTAGCACCGGTGCAGCTTTACTGCAGCTTTGATTCCTAGCTAGCTAGTCTATCTATGTACCAGTAGGCTACTGTAGCTGCCGATACCGGTAGCAGCAGCCGCCACCGAAACCGAGAAAGGAGCCCCGAAGTGTCTTGGGACGATTGCTGGACTGCTGCTCTCGAATTCAATCTAATCATTCACGAGAAAACAGTATGGTGGGTCCGCTACAGCGCCGTCCGTCCCGTTGTCCTGATCATTTATTTGTTGACGGTAGCATATGCATGTCGTACTACCGTCCCAGCATGGACTACTATTAATTAAAATAATAGTACGGTAGTACAGTCGTACACTGTACCGGAACTGTCGCAATTGCTGGTGGTTCTTGTGAAGTGGCTGGCTGTGATCACCGACTACTCACCAATAAGGTCGGAAGACTTATTAGCTTATAGGTTGGTTCGTTCCGGATTTAAGCTGCGCGAATTCGGTCACAGTACTGAAGTGCAACAGTGAAATAGTCGTTGTCTCGTCTGGAGCAGCAAAGCAGCAAAGTACCACTCGACCAACAAACAGAAGACCAAAATTCCAACTCCTTCTTCTTCTATCAAGAGTCAAGTCCTTCCCATGGGCAGAGACAGACACAAACACAGAGAAAGACAAAGATAATCATCTCTTGACAGTTGAACCTTCATTGCTGGCTACTATCAGTCCTAGCGACCTGCGGTTGGGTGGTTGTAGGACCCTGACGGCGGCTGGGCGAGCCATGTGGTCTTTGTTGATACGACTGCTCCCGACGGTGGCCATGTTGGGTTGGGCTCATGCCAGTGGGTCCCTGTTGGAGCCCGCTCGACTGAGTTGCAATGCCGCCTATAGTGCTCCCTGTTCCCGCACCAACTCGGAATGGCTGGCCAAGAGTATCACACAAGACTTTGCAGAGAAAAGTCGCAACAACGAAACGACTCTGGAGGCACTTTTTCAGGAAATTACGGATCAAAACCACAATATGCGGGTCGGATTTTATCCCTTTGTCTTTCACATGGAGAACGCAACCTGTGCGGCCCATGGTGCGGTCCCTGAATACGTTGGGAAGACCTTGCTTGGCGTCTTCTCTTATGTCGGCATTTCCTTCTCGGACCCGGTCGCTTTGATGGAACGCTTTGTAGCAGCCGCAAAGAACGGGGGAGGATGGGTGCGATATATCTGGAGCAATGGAGCTCAAGGTCATGCAAAGTTAGCTTTTGTGACTCTCCTCACGGACGAATATTTCCTCGGGGTGGGCTACGAGAATACTCCCCTTCCTATTGACGTGCCATGCTCAGCGAGTTTTGATTCATGGTGCAGTATTGCCAATGTTAGGTCTTTGCTGGGGAAAGCACAGACTCAAATATCGTTGGCTGAATCGTTGCCTCAATTTGAAGCTGCCGTTTACGAGTTGACCTTCAATAAGGATTATCAGATTCCAGGAGGATTCTATGTTTATATGTACGGCTACGATGGATGCCTCAAGAGCCATGCCATCCTAAACGATTATTTGGGATCCACGTTTGCCGATGTAATTGTCGACAAGAAGCTAGGGACGGCTGAAGAAGCTTGGGAACTGCATAATCAATTTGTTACGGCTGCAGAGGGAGCAAACACAGGCTGGGTGAGGTACCTTTGGAAGAACGCAGACGACAAGGTCTTCACCAAAGTGGCGTTCGTCATCAAGATCGACTTTCGGGGAAAGTGGTACTACCTCGGATGTGGTTTTGATTTTAACAGGTGAGTCGCCATCATCGTTGTATACTAACTTGCCTCTCCGGTACACGACAAAGCACTCATTGCTCTGCAACGTATGAATCCAACAGTCAAGCTAGCGCCAACCCCATGACGATGGCTCCGTCCTCGGGGCCAATGCTGCCAATGCCCGTGTCAGAGCCGATGACGAGCTCCGTGCAATCAATGGTAGAGTCTTCGGCGCAGTCAATGATGGATTCCTCCGGGACCGCTATGGGTTTGTCAGTCCCCATGTTTCCAGCGAAGCCTTGCTCGCAAAGCTACAACCTCCCGTGCTCCTTTCGAACGGCTTTGCAGCTTTCTAGTCATGCCTTGGTCCATGTGATATCATCGCCAACCTCTGAGGAAGAGACTTGGAGGGCCATCACGGAGGATCCAAGGTTTCGAAGCAACGATTTCTATGTATTTGTTTCTGAATTTGACACTGCGATCTGCAGGGCCCACGGTTTGGTTCCGGGATACGTCGGAATGACGACCTCTGAAATTTTCGTCCAGAACAACATCCCAGTAGACGGGAACGCCGTACACAACAATTTCCAAAAAGCAGCGGAAAATGGCAATGGATGGGTTCTTTATGATTGGATTGTGCCAGGAGTAAAAGATTCCATCTTCCAAAAAGTGTCCTATGTCTTCCAGATCAATCTGCACGGGAAACGTTATTATGGCGGAGTTGGCTTCAATCATCACCGTGCTCCACTGCAGGAGTTCAAGGAAAGTGGAACAACAATGAACGGCGACCGCATCCTCTGCACTCGGGAATATGGGATGGCCTGCAGTGATACCAACGTGCTTGCTCTGATTGGGCAGGCATCTGCGGAACTGACGCTGGCAGGATCCGATGCAAGAGTCACCCACGATCGAGAGCAACAGATTAGTCGAGTTGTTGACGATATTCTCAAGGCAATCAACGACAAGGATCCTGCTTTTAGTGTCAACGATTTTTATCTGAGTGTTTTCCACTTCAATTCATTCATATGCGAAGACGATGGTTCTGGTTGCTGCGTTGCGCACGGTGCAGATAGGAGTATGGTAGGGAAAACCTGGCAACAGATCTTGCGTAAGGACAGCATCACGTCCATCACGGGACAACATCTTCACGAAAGGTTGATTCAGAGTTGCAGCTCGGACTATGGTTTTTTCGACTACCTCTATTCGGAGACCACAGGAGAAGCGCGTACCAAGCGTGCGGTCGTGGCTAGTTTCCAAGATGTGATGGATGAGGACTTATACGTTGTCGCGGAGTACTTTTTGACCCCTCCACCTCCCACTTGTGACAACTGCCCCAACCACATGGAATGTACAGAAAGGTCACAATCGTTTTGCAAGATAAAGCGAAAGGATACTTCGCACAGCCCCATTCCGTGGATTGTTGCTTTGTCTGTTCTGATCGTGTCGAGTGCCCTGGGTTTCTACTATTACAAGCGCCGAAACTGGAGGAAGCGGCAGATTCTAGCAAAGAGAATCAAGCAAATGGAAGAGCAAATGAAGGGGATGGTCGAAATCGTGCTCGACACTGGAACACAGCTCACATCGGCTCAAGATTACAAAGACAAGTTCGGTCTTGTGGGCGTTGGAAAGGCACCGTCCACCACCACCAAGCAGGTGAAAATTGTTTGGTGTTGGAAAGAGAATACGGCTTTTCTTCCAAGGCATAATCCATCCTCGATCATCCCGGGAACGAGCTTCGTCAAGTACCAAGAGAGCATTTCGGCCCAGATTGAAGAAGCGTACAACTTCTGGAAAGACGGAAGAGGATACAAGGAAGTTCGAGTCGACCTCACGGACAAGGTTCGGAAGATCCAAAACCAAGCTTCTGGAGCAAATTACGTCCTTGATTTTGAAGAAATGACGCAGCGTAATCTTTGGAGCGAACACGTGCGTGAAATTCGCCGACAAGAACACGTTGTTGAGGCATTGCAGTCTGGAGTTGTAGATCATCTACCCCGTTTGCCGCGCAGCATCGACTTCTTCGGTGCCGACGGGGAAGATTTTCTGCCGACGTTCAAGGGACAAGTTATTCAAGTCTCCAAAGAACACTGTGACAGACAGTGGCTCTACGGAAGTGTTCTGTATGATCCTCTCTTGGTAGATGCTCAAAGCAAACCCCATGGGAACCTCGCCACGGAAGGGCTGAATAGGATCTTGTCAGTGGCCTTGCACGACCGACCGACGTCAGGATGGTTCCCTTCTGCCGTCTCTAGACCAGCTGACGTGAATGTCATGAAAAACCTACTGCATTCGTTGGGCGGTGACGGTGTTTCTAATCTGAAGGCACCCGCAACGTGGGATGCGAACAAGGAGGGTTTGGTTCTTGTTGCCAAAAACACTGAAGAGTACCGTGCGGTAGAAGCCAACTTCTTAGCGGCACTTTACGACCAGGTGGAATTCGTTACCGTTGTCGGGATCGAGCGTATCCAATGCATGCCACTGTGGCAGTCCTATGCGGTCAAGAAAGAAACAATGAAGTTGCGCGATGCAAAAAGCCCTGAGAACAGAGACAACAACCAGGATCCCAGTGTGGAACGGAAATGGCTTTTCCATGGTACTACAACGGCTGTCATCCCCAAGATCGTCAAGCAGGGGTTCAATCGCGCCTTCGCTGGTCGTAACGCTGTCGCGTTTGGTAAGGGCGTGTATTTTGCCCGTGATGCGTCCTATTCAAGCCACAGAGCCTACTCTACTCCGGATTGGGACGGGACTCAACACATATTTATGTGTCGAGTCGCTGTCGGTGACTGGTGCCAGGGCACCAATGGCCAGCTGACACCAGATCCCAAACCAAGGAACCCATTGGAATTGTTCGACTCCACTGTTGACAATGTTCTCGACCCTTCGATTTTCGTTGTGTACCACGACGCCCAGGCGTATCCAGATTACCTGGTTTCCTTCCAGCGAAGCGACTGATGTGGTTCATAGTTGCCCTCGAATGATCAATCGAGGCTCTCGTCTCTTGTGCTGAACCGTTCCAGGCAGAGGTAGACTGTGGTTTCTGCAAATTCAAGACGACCACGTGATTTTGAAAGACACGGTCTTCAATGTCTTGCTATGATCTGATTTCGGGAGTCGAGTCGGCAGCACAGCTTCTTCATCCGTCCAAAGCTATTTGGGGAGCTGGATATTCGTCGACGCAATCGTTGGATACACAGACCAGACCGACCGCATCGGCAACGGCAGAGCTTTCTGCCATGCAGGGACCCGCGTGTTTTCTTTGGCAGCAGCGCTCAAATGAAGAAGGAAGTTTGAGGGTCTTCGCCGCTACGAGTAACACTCTGGCGAGTTTGCAATCGAACACGCAGTCCTCCCTTGAGTGCTGGAAAGAGTTTCGAGAGACAACGTTAGTCTGCAGCAGATAATCCAGAGACCCTGAGGATTTCAATGCGACCAGTTACAGGGCCGAGGGAATCCAAACAAACACACGGCTTCTGATACCAGCAAAATATGAATGTAGGCGTGGCATTGCGTTGCTACTTCCAGTAGTCACAATGCAGCAGCTAGTTTACAACTCTATAAAATAAATCTTGGATTGTCATCAGTCTACACAACATTCAAGCAGGGTTCCACAGTCTACCAATAGCTCCAGTTGACCTTCTTGTACTCTCTTGCAAATCTCAACAGGCACCTGCCCAGTGACAGGCGTGTCCGTTAGGTCTAGCTTCGTCAAGTGAGTAAGTTGGCCAAGTTCAGAAGGAATCATTCCCTCAAGCCTGGGATTGCTGGACCAGTCGATTTCAAGCAGGGTGTGACATTGTGAGAGATCATAAGATCCTCAACAATCTGGAAGGTCAGCATGCTTCAGACCCTGACAGGAGCCCTGCTGCCTCAACTGAAAGCAATTGAAATAAGCAATGACAACAGTTGAATTGTCAGTAGTGTAATGAGTATTCTAAGCACACAATGTAGCAAAAACCCTCACGCTTCCTCTGCGCATGCTGCATGCTTCGAGCAACTCTTTGATACTTACTGTAGTGTACCAAAGAGCACCTCGCAAGCCTATCGAGCAACTCCTCCGCTGACTTGTGAGTTAGTCCAGGAGCTGCTCCATACCCTTTACCCAGTGACTGTAGTCACCAACTCCTCACAATCTGTTGATCGAGGAGTTCACCAGTTGCAAAGAAGCCACCCAAGATTTCTGATTCAGAAGAGTCTCAACAGCTTCCTGATAGGGAACGAAGAGTCATCAGAAGAGCTGAACAGATCCAACAAGCGGCGAGACAACTGCAAAGAACAAGAGACCGAATTGAACGAAGGAGGCAACGTGATCTAGCCAGACAATCCCAAGTGATGGACGCGGCACAAATCACGCAGTTAGTCACGGCCGCAGTGGCAGCAGCCCTGCAGGATCAAGCCGTATTGACGGCAATCCGTGGACCGGCACAACCAAGGCCACAGGCAGCCGCATTCGCAGTCACTCCAGCAGGCACCGGCAACACGGCCTGGGACTTCACCTCCGGTACCGGTCTCAAGATCTTCATTGCGGCGACGTCCCCCTTTACCCCGCAATACGACGGAAAGGAAGCCACATTGAGAGACTTCCTTCGCAAAGTCCGAAATCGTGCAGAAGCTTTCGGTTGGACTGGCATTCTCATGGTGATCGACGCCGACGGCACACCCAGGAACATTACGTTGGAATACGGGTGCCTGACTCTAGCTCGGGTCAAGGAACACGCGATCACGTACCTTAGGCAGGACAATCGCGAACATCAAGCGTCAGCGTGCCTACGACAACTGATCATTGGTTCGATCACGTCTGGTCTAGCCGACAAGCTTGCCAGTCGCAAAGCCAATTTCACCGTTAACACTGCAGCAGCAGCACAGGTAGGCCAGCCAGCTCCAGCTCCAGTGTTCAAAGAAGACGGAACGTGCATGCTGTTCGACATCATCAGAGTCGTGTCTGTCGAGACCAAGGCCACCGTAGCGCTCATCGTGAAGAAGCTGGCGAACCTCGAGGTCCTTATGGAAGAGTGCAAGTCTGATATCGGAATCTTCAATGACAAAGTTGACGATCTTGTCAACCAACTCAGGGCGCGCAACATCCAGGTGCCGTCACTGATCAACCCACTCTTCGATGGATATAGCAATTGTGCCGATAAAACCTTCACGACGTACATCTCTCGCAAGCAAGAAGCTTACGAGGACGGTACACTTGAGATCGAGTACCCTGCTCTGATGTCGACCGCACTTTTTCAAGGGAAGCCGAAAACCGAAGCGCTTCCCCTCTGGATCTGTCACTACAAGAACAACAACACTAATAGCAACAAACACAACCAATCGGTCATACCTATACCATTACACTACC